AGATTGCTGATCAGTTATGTGATATCCGTATTCCTATATGGTAGGGAAGTTTGAAAATCTACACACAGATGAAGAAGTAATTTGAGGCAACGTAAATGTGGTTCTACAAAAGGATGGTGAGAATACCACTGTCTGAACATGTGAGCAACGACAAACTTTTAGGGAAAATGGAAACGAAAAGGACAATTATACTTAGAATCAGAAATAGACACCTGAAAGTTTAGGATGCATATTGAGGAAATAAGGCATAGAATATTTGACACTCACAGGACCTACAAAGGAGTGAGACAGGAAACAGTCAGTACCTACATCCTTGTGCAAATTAATTAAAAACAACCGCTTTAGTTTCCTTTCTTTCCCCATACAATCAGTTTTAGACCCACTGGAGTGACGGGGTGTAAACGAATTCTATTTTTCCTCACATTAGGTCATTTGCAGTGGTGTAAAATATTATATTTGGGGAGCATGATGACATTTGTTTGGTCTTGAAAAATATTGCGACATCCGTTATTTCATCAGATTTTTATCACGCCTAGAAACTATTGTCACCTATGTCGATTAGTTGTCCTACGGCCATTGTCTGCGGTGAACGTTACTCCAAGGAAGCGTACGAAAATTGTAATTACAAATCAAAATACTATCAACTGACACGGAAACTCACCTGATTTAAATCAAATCGAGAATCTGTGGTCAATCTGCAAGCAAAGACTTCGTGGAATGAACATACAAAGTAGTAGCAAGTGCATTGGGTCATGTTTCATTTTAAAAAAATATTAAAAAAGTAAATAATAACGGAATTAATTTGCATAAGCGTGCACCTAACGAATCTGTGCAAATGGTTGGCAGAACAAAGATTAGAAGAGATAGGAGAGCGGGAAACTTTACTAAGAGCTGCTAAGAATATGAAGTAGTGGAGAGCCATGATCGCCTACGTCCTGAACAGACACGTTATATAGACAAAAAAAATATGATGTTGGCGTATTCCCAATAACATTAGAAACAGCAACTCGATACTACATGGATTGTAAAACTTGACAGAATCCAGTCATACGTCTCTTATTGTTAGCATTTCTTTAAGTATATAAGAATTTGTATTTTTCTGAATATTGTTTTGACCATTTGTCTCCGTGAAAAATTATCACCTTTTATTTCGCTCCTAGTGTGTCCATTGTCCCGGAAGTTTTCTATATTTTGCGCCATTTTTACTTACCCATAATTCTCTGCTTTCCGTTTCTGTCCATTAAGAGTTGATCAGTGGAAAAGCGGAAAGTAGAAATATGTCAAATTGTCACTCGTCTTAATTCTTTACCCTCGCTTTTATCGACGTCTGCACGCGACTTGCGACACAGATTTTATCGCTTAATGTATGATTATAGGGGACACAAGAAAGCATTCTCCCCCCCCCCCACAAGCACACACCAATCTCCATCTGACAATATTTCAAGAAAAATGAAATCTTTCTTGTTGGGAGATTAATTTTTGATTTGTGATCAGATTTATCGCAGAGAAATGTGTTCGGTGAAAAATGAAACAAAGAAAATTGCTTTTTGCGACAAGAGTGAAGAACGATATTGCGTATGGCGTTTCGTTTTATTCTACATAACGCTAAAAAACCATTCGGCTCTCAGTGGTCCTTTGAATATTTGGACACTATGAATAATATTATTCTATGCGTAGTTCCATTCCATGGCCGTTCTGTCTAAGAGAACATATTTAAAGAAAGAATTGGGGGCGTAAATTATCCCCCATTTATTTCTAAAGAATTAATGTTTTTTTTTAAAACTTTAATCCGAAATATTTTTATTAATTCAAACGTTACTTTGAATGCATATCCGTATTTGAGTACAAACATTCGCTTTTTTGCTCTTTTTATTAAACAAAATTTATTTTGTTTAATTGCCTGAACATTAGATAGAATTTAGTAAAGAAAATCTTCCCTCCTGAAGGATTCGAATCTGTGTCCACTTAATTTGAGGAACCACAGTCTGATTCGGCGTCTGTTAGACCATTTAGCTATGAAGAGACTCAGCTAAGGAAGCTTTCTATGTTTTATTGATATTAATGATTTAATTAATACGACATTCAGAAAATTATAATTCCCTGAAAAATTAATACTTTAATAATAAAAAGAATTTATTGAGAATGTATTTCTTATTTTTACAAATCCATGCAATATCTTTCTTTTTAATTATTACGAATTAACTTTCCCCATCTCTATCTCTTTCTCTCCCTCGCCTGTTCTCTCTTTCTACAATTATGTTTCTTGTCTCTTTCTCTCTATATATGTTTCTTGCTTGCTGGTATAAAACAAATAGATTTTGCTTTGTTGTGAAGCTCTTTGTAGCCGAATGGTGAGAATCAAGCCGTGTTCCTCCGCTTATATATATATATATATATATATATATATATATATATATATATATATATATATATATGATATGATAGCTGGCCACCCTAATTCGAGGATACTCGTCTACTAGGGTGGCTAGTGTAACATATTGCTCAACACTCACAGAGCCGACCTTTGGTTTATACTGCAATTAAAATGTTTTCTTATTCTTATCTTGATTGAGCATTGATGTATTTTTGACTAATATCTGTCTAAATTGTGAATATGAACATGAGTGTTCCTTTAAAAGGTCTTAGATTGAACTATGACTGTTCAAGAGAAAAACATCCATATATATGCAAACCCTGAAACGGCCTGTCGCCTCTGAGTGTTGAATTCAATGTTCACATTTATCTTTGCACACGTATTATGTCTATTTATTTTAGATTTAATCCTTACAAATCCACGAATTAATTTCTTATGTACTGAAGCATGCATTAATGAAAAGTTGCTTCCTATATATATATATATATATATATATATATATATGTGTGTGTGTGTTAAATATGGTGTATTTTGGAAGTAAGATTCTGTTAAACAAGTTTCTTTGAACAATATCGACAAGGTCTATCTATCGAATTTTTTAATAAGTTGTTTTATACAATCGGTATAATTCCATTCCCCGCCCCCGAATTTACTGATCAAGTTACTGTTGGAATAAAATAAGTCCTGCATATTGGGGTTAATCATGAAACAGCCTTTTGCCACTCAGTGTCGACCTTTATATTCACACTTTTTATACACACACACACACACACACACACACACACACACACATATATATATATATATGTATACTTTTATTGTTTATATTTATTTATTTTCATCTTCTGCCAGTCTTAATATTCGTGGAAGTTTTTTAAAGAAAAAAATAAAACTATCTCAAGACAGATTCAGACCTGTTTTCCGCTAGAAGAAACCGCCATACACCTAAAGTGCATTAAACTTCTCGATCAACCATTCTTACATATTGGTTGACCATCGATATTTTTCCAATCAAGGTGTCAGAAGAGAGGAAACATTTTGCCAGTAAGCCATTCGACCCGTCAGAACAGCATCAGAAGATTCTCGGTCTGACATTTCTCCCTTTCCTCATTTTCCAAATAGTGTAGCAGTGTCATTGATGAAGCACAGGAATCAAGCAGAATGATTATTTCAATTATTCTTCACCATTAGTAAATTTTTTTAACAACGGTACCAATTTATGACTCCGCCATTTTTTTTTCAGAATCAAGCCACGGCGATCGTAGAAGAGCTGACATTTAAAGCGTATCCAGACGCCAGTTCGACGGACAAAGCGTTGTATTGGGTTGGGATTTAATGCAGTGCTCTCCTTCATTATATGGTTAGCATAATCGGCAATCACCTTTGCAACTGATTTTGTGTCACTTATCAGGAAAGTGGGTTTGAAAAATCTGACACTCCCAGGACATATATTGAAGGGAAGAAAGAGATAGTCAAAAAGTGTATAACCTCCGTCACGAGTTTATGTAAATGGATGCCAGGTCAGGATTTAGGAGAAATAACAAAAAAAAAAAAAACACAATATATTAAGATTTAAAAATCACATGAAATTGCAAAGAACTATGTCCGCGTACGTCCTGAGGACATGGCACATAGTAGAATAAGAACTTCTGGTGGGCATTAAACATATCCCTTTATTTACCCTTGCTTCTCTTGCAGGTCGGGGGGGGGACATAGAAGAGTAGTGATTTCAAAGATAGAGAATGCACCAACATTTCTACCCTAAAAAAAACAATCCTGTTCGCTGCCATCCAGTGCTACCAATATGATATTCTTTTCGTGTCTTCCATACATCATCCGGAAAGGCTTATTTATACAAGATTTGTAGTATGGAATCAACTTCTTGGTTATACGTTTAGTTATGTGTATATTAGTTAAATGTGAATCTCATTTTAGTTGTTACTGATATTAAAAGTTTTCAAGTGGTGTGGTTTCTGTTAGTTGGAACAGTTCTTTGTGATTCTGTAGTGCTAGTCCACAAGGTTCGAAGAAGGTTTGATATGTTAAAATGGGCCAGGTTCTAGAAATTCTAAAAACAGACATTCAAAAACACCGCTTATGGGGCTTCACATTGAGCCCTGTATTGTCGTAAGGTATGGTAAAGTAATGTCTCATCACTGTCATGTCACACTGATTGATGGCAAAAAGGGTGTGCCAATTTTCGTAACTGCGTTTAATTAATGTATGCAAGCAACATCAGTAAAGTAAAAGAAATCTTCCCTCTTCGTTAATAAATTACAAATGATGTGTGGGGATGGCAAATACTCATCGTAATCAAGATAGGCTGTTTGAAAGCTGGCATTATTGTCTTTTTTTCAAGGTTTCTATGTTTTATTTATATTAATGATTTAATTAATACGACATTCAGATAATTATAATTCCCTTGAAAATTAATATTGTAATAATAAAAGAATTCATTCAAAATGTATTTCCTATTTCTACAAATCCATACAATATCTTTTTTTAAAATTATTACGAATTAACTCTCCCCATCCCCTCTCTCACTCAGTTGTTCTCTCTTTCTACAATTATGTTTCTTTTTGTCTCTTTCTCTCTATATATATATTTTGTGCTTTCGCTCTTTATTATGTTAGGGTCTCTCTATTATTCACTATCCCTTTATCTTTTTTTTGCCCGCAGTCTCTTTTTGTTTCTTACTGTCTCTCTCTCCGCACGTTTCTCTCTCCCACTTTCGCATTCTCTCTTTCTAGAATTATATTTCTGGCTGTCTCTTCTCGGTCCATATGGGTTTTGTGCTCTCTTTCTCTATTTCTTATTCACTAAGATACATTCTCTCTTCTTTTTCTCTCTCATTCTCTTTTTTGTTCTCTTCCTCTTCCTCTTTCTTAATCCTTCTTTGTGAACTCTTTTGGACTCTTCATTTTGCTCAGTCTTTCGCAATCGCTCTTTCTCTCTATTCTCTATTTCTCTTTCGTTAGCTTTCAGTTTTTCCTATTCAATCTCTCTTTATCATTCTCACTTTAAATCTCTCTCTATCTATCTCTCTTAATTGTTCTCTCTCTCTTTCCCACACCGTTTTTTCTGAAAATCATCTTCAGATTATCTATCTTTTCTCTCTTTCTCTTTATCTCTCTCTCTCTCTCTCTCTCGTACAGACATTCTTTTGTTTTCTATCCCTCGCTTTCTCACGTTTTCTCATTCTCTATCTCTCTCTTGTTCTATCTCACTCTCTTTTTCTCTTACGCTGTCATTTCCTTCTCCTTTTCCTTCATTCTACATATTCTTCTCTCCCCCTCTCTCTGTTTCTTTTTATCTATCTTCTCCCTCTCTAACTATTCTTCTCTATCTGTCTCTTTTGCTTTTGTCTTCATAAGTTTCGAAATTTTGAAAACTTTTCGTCTTTTTGAAGAGGAGGAGGGATTTGTAATATCTGATCAAAAAATATTTCACCTGTTAAAGTTTAAATTAATTCGCTGAATTTTTAAAAATATTAATGTTAATTTTATTTTTATTAATTCTTTCCCCTTTGGTCTAGCGTTTTCCCTCATTGGTAATAAATCCTATTTTTTTGCAAATGCATTTCAATAAATTCCATTAATTAATTCTAAAATTAATTAAAGCGTATTTTGTCACCTTGGGGTAGCGATGGCGTTCATAGACTTTTCCTGTTTTCTTTAAGCATGTATGACATTTTTATAAGTAAATATTTCTCTTCACAGATGCAGATATAACTGCCAACAGATGTATGTAGAAGCATTCATATGTATTATTACCTGCGAGCACCTATGTCAAAACTTCTACCATAGAGAAATCATAGAAGTGTCTCTGAAGTTTATCCAGCATCTTATTTTTTTTTTAATACGAATCAATTCAGTCACTTTCACACAACTGTAATGTAGTTTCTTTGTGCTTTTTCTATAAATATTTTCATGGCAATTATTTGGATCACCTTCCTCTGTGGTACCCAGACTTTATCATTTTAGGCGTAGTACTAGATTGGCAGCAAGGTTTCACCATTTTACAGATTAAATGGCTAGATGTCACCGTAAATTCTATGTTAATTTATTTTATCGCTTTTGGAAACATCTTCCGGTATATTGCTTTCCGGTCAACTTTGATATTCAAAAAAATTAAATGCAATGTCAATCGTTATCTTCTGTCTTCCTAATTCCTATTCTTTTTTTGTTCTCTCGACTTAATAATGTATTTTTTTCTCATATTCTCTACCATTCAGTAACCTTTGCACCTTAGTAGCTTTATCGCCTTGCTTGCAGTGAACTGATTAAAAAAAAATTTCTTCTGCTAACCGATGGAGAAAAATACCTCATTTTAGGGGAAAGGTAGACATTACTGATGAAAAATGAAATTTTGCCTCGGGGTTCTCGATAAGATCCAGAGGCGGATATGCAGTATAATTGGCCCTGTTCTGGCATCTCGTCTACAGTCGCTCTCTCACAGATGCGCCGTCGCCTCTCTCTGTCTTTTTTACTATATTTTCATGGATATTTGCTCCGAAGATCTGCATTCGCTGGTTCCGAGACTTCATGAATTCAAGTGCCCTACGAGGCAGGCATCTCGCTCTCACCCTTCACTGTCGGAACTATTAAATGTAGCCGTCTCTTCTACTCCAATAGCTTCATATCTCGCCTGTGGAACTCCCTTCCCTATTTCAGTTTCCCTGAGAGCTATAATCTTCAACTATTCAAATGTAATGTCAATCGACATCTCCAGTTTCCGTGATCTATCCACTATCCTTCTCCTCATCCTTTCCTCTATCACACCTATCTGATCTTGCTCCAAATCTTCTGTAACTCCTTGCGTCCTAGTGGCTTCCCACCTTGTTTGGGGTGAAAAAAACATTTTTACATTGTTCAGACTGTTTGCTGTCCTCATATTTATCGTCATATTCACGACGTTTTGACCGTTGTACGCTCTGGCCTTCTTCATGTGACTGGAATTTCGAACTGAACCCTTTATTTCGTCCACAAGTGTGGATTATTCTAGTTCCACGAGCTATACCTCTTCAGGATGTCTCAGTTATCTTCTTTTAACTAAACTTTACAGTTTACCACTGTACTAGCCAGGTATTGAACTCACGCCTCCTTGGGTCAAATCACCGGATCTAACCAACGTTTTTATCCACTGGGCCATGTGTCCTTGAGTGTATGAATTTCTGGGACTTATAAACCTAATTTCTCAGTAACAATTTTTTTCATCAGAGCTCATATTGCAATTTTGTTGTTATTTTTGCACTCCGGTATTACTGGTTCCCATATTGTATTTATTTCTATACTTGGTCGGCTTAGGAGATCTTTTTTGTTGCCTAGCATATGTGCTAAATCCTTAAGTTTTCGTATTTTCCACTGATGTACTCTATTATTTCAACCTCATCCCACGGGGTGGGGGGGCGTGGGCGGTGATCACTTTTTTCCCTCTGTATGCGTTCAGCGAGGCCTGACTTTTTTTTTTATTACACTTTGTGTTACGTCTTTTCGATGTTCTTGCAGTCTTACATTAAGGGGGCGGCTCGATTCTCCTTTTGACATTTTCTTTAACTCAACAGAATTTGCAATTTTCTTTTCTTCATTTTGAGGAATTTGAAAGCAGTTATAACTAGATCTGAAAAAATTGTCATGGTACATAATGTCGAGAAGAGATACCTCGTTTGTATGCTAGTTCAACTGTCATAACTCTCTACCGTTTATTTTCCTTTTAATAGATATTTTCCTTGTTGGCAGGGTCTTAAATACGCTAATTACATCCCAGGCACAGGCATAAGACCACACGCAAAAGGGACCACTTCAGGATGGATGCTTGTACTCACGTATAAATCTGACAATCGTTTGCCGACAAACCCAAAGATTAATCCACTACAGACTCATGTATGAACTAAACCAATATTTGGCTTTTATCTCAAAGATAATCCCGGCAAATATTTGCTCTTGTATTCGAGTATAAACCCAGGCAAGTTTTACTTAGAGTCTCAGGTACGAACTCGATTAATATTTGTCTAAATTGTCAAGTATAACATCGACAAAGACTTTCTTAAAGACAATCATGTATATCAATACCTACAGTATTACATATGAATCTGAACATTATTTGGCTATTGACTCAAGTATAAATCCGACACATGTTTGTATATAGACTCAAGTATAAAGCCAACTAATGCCTGCCTATTCAGTCAAGTATAGGTCCAAGCAATAATTGTCTAGAGACTTAACTATAAGCTTGATCAATGTTTGCATATAGTCTCAAAGATAAAACTTACCAAGGTTTTCTTGGTATTTTTAATTTTTCACGATTTATTTATGAAAAAATATCCGGAGAAGCGAACAGTTTTTTTTCTCTTGCATTTTGCATCTCTTGCTTGTGGAACTCTCTTCTATTATCTTGCTTCCCATTTAAATTTGATCTTTAAAAGTTTAAATGCCATGTCAATCGTTATCTTCTCTCTTCTTAATTCCTGTTCTTTTATTGTCATCTCTCCTTAATAAGGCCTTCTTTTTCTCATATTCTCTAACACTCAGTAGTTGTTTTACTACCTTCCATTAGGTGAAATGATTTTAAAAAAAATTGAGTTTCTTTTGGCAACTGACAGAGAAAAACACTTCATTTTAGGGGGAAATGCACTCTAGCGATGAAAAAAGAAATCATTATAATTTAAAAGAAGACATTTTTGTTAACCCGACATAATTTGCTCGAAAAATATATTTTTTTCTGTTTTGGTTAGAATTTAAAAGCAGTTATTACTATAACTGATAAATCGTTTGTAAATACTATGTAAATTCAATATCTGTCCATATTTCTGAGATGTGGTATTGTAACTATTGAAACTATTTACATTGTTTTGGTCAGGTTTGTTGTCATATTCATGACGTTTCGGCCGTTGTGCGCTCCGACCTTCTTCAGGATCTGTCTATATTTCTGAGAGGAGGCATTCTAACTATTTAAACTATTTACATTGTTTTCGTCAGGTTTGTTGTCATATTCACGACGTTTCGGCCGTTGTGCTTTCCTGCCTTCTTCAGGATCTGTCTATATTCCTGAGATGAGGCATTCTAACTATTTAAACTATTTACATTGTTTTCGTCAGGTTTGTTGTCATATTCACGACGTTTCGGCCGTTGTGCTCTCCGGCCTTCTTCAGGATCTGTCTATATTTCTGAGATGAGGCATTCTAACTATTTAAACTATTTACATTGTTTTCCTCATATTTGTCATATTCACGACCTTTCGGCCGTTGTGCTCTCCGGCCTTCTTCAGGATCTGTCTATATTTCTGAGAGGCGGCATTGTAATTATTTAAACTATTTACATTGTTTTCCTCGTACTTGCTGTCATATTCACGACGTTTCGGACGTGCGCGCTCAGTAAGGACATATGGCGCAGAGGATAAAAGTGTTGGTTAAAGTAATTCAGTGACTAGACCCAAAGATTTGTGAGTTCAATACCTGACCAGAGCAGAAGTGAACAAAACTTTTTGAGTCAATAAAAGGAAATAAATTAAACGGAGATACCTGGAAGAGGCATGGCCCTATGAACAAGAACAATCTACCAGGATGGACGAAATAAAGGCTTCAGTTCGAAATTCCAATCACTTGAAAAAGGCAGTAACGTATAACGGCCGAAACGTCGTGAATATGGCAACAAAGATTCCTTCTTGCTTTCCACTTCACTTTGATGTTCAAAAATTTAAATGCAACGTCAGTCGTCATCTTCTGGCTACTTGAATCCTATTTTTTTATTGTAATTTTTCCTTGATAATGTTTATTTTTTTTTTTATCTCAGACCCTTCAACTTTCAGTAACCACCTGTGTCTTCGTGGCTTCATTATCCTACTTATAAAAGGATTAAATAAAACAAGAAAAAAAAATTTAATTGGTTACAAGTTTAACATATTTAACCCTAGCAAGCTTTGCATGATCTCTATCGCTTTGCAAAGTAAAATATACTCACTGCATGAAATCTTTGAAACAAAAATTTTAAATGAATATTTAATTCATAAATTGGCTTGTTATAGTTAAGGAAAGTTTTACAAATAGATGCCAACTTGTTGAAGGCCAAGTAAAATGAATATTTTAAAGACATTTCCTCACTATATAAGATGAACAGAACTATCTTTGATATGATAATCAAAACAATCCTCGAATAAAAGAAGATTAATGAATGACAGTTAATTAATGAAATAAACATTTTAAAAATGACTATGCAAATTAGTTAAACCTGAAGAGTGACATTACCCTGAAGTAGATAAAGCAGATCTAGGGCTTTTTGATTTCAGAATTCGTGAGAGAATTGAGCTCCAATCTCGCATTTATTCATATAGATTC